AAATATAATAATGAAGGTACATAATTAACTCACATCAAGTACATTGATCTGGTCTTGACAATCTGCTCTGAAAAAAGGAACATATTAAAGCACTCATTCACATCCTTTGGCACATTAAAATAAGCCGTGGCCACTGGCCTCGTGAGAACCTTTGAAGTGTTCAACGTTTAAAATGCCTTCATTATTTGGCAGGTTTTAAAATACAAAAGGACCACAACAACACTCTCCTGTCTTAGAAGACAATCACTTTTTAAATGCATTTGTCAGTGGTGATCAGACAATATTTTTAAGAGGGAAAGCGGATTCTACCAAGCCTTTCATTTCATTTTGAGGGTTCCAGAGACGTCTCATCTAAATAAATACTGTGCCTGTATCTATTAGCTCTTTCTGTATTAATCTCAGTGGCATGCAATGGGAAGCACTTATTTCTCACTCACACTTTGTGGGTCCCTAGGGAGGGTCAGCTAGCTGTATTAGTCCATTTGGGCTGCTAAAACAAAACATCATAAACTAGGTAGTTTATAAGCAACAAACATTTATTTCTCATATTTCTGGAGGCTGGAATTCCAAGATCATGGCACAAACAGATCTGGTGTCTGGTGAGGACTTTCTGGTTCAGATGGCCATCTTCTCTCTGTGTCCTTACATGGCAGAAGGGAGCTCTGTGGGGTCTCTTTTATAAGGGCACTAATCCCAATCGTGAGGGCTCTGCCTCATGACCTAATCACCTCCAAAGGTCCCACCTCCTAATACCATCATCACCTTGGGGATTAGAATTTCAACAGATGAATTTTGGGGGTACGCAAACTGACCATAGCAGTAGCTCTCATCCACATGACTCTCATCCTTCTCCTGGGACCAGTGGGCAGCCCAGACTTATGTCTGCTAACATCCCATTGGCTAAAGCAAGTCACATGACCAAGCTCACAGTCAAAGGCTGGGGAAATACCTTCCAAAGAGTGTGGAGGCAGGGAGAGATGAAGAACTGGGGACAATAATTTAGTTTACCACAGTGCCCAAAGAAAAAGTCTGTCTAATAGTGCATGTTTATAACTGTAGCATTTCTGGCTCTAGAGTGGCAGTCACTTACCTGTTCTACAATTCTGTATGTAGTATGCCTTTCTGTTTCCAGCCAGATGGGAGGCTACATTCATCCCCAGGCTGTCTGCTGTGAGGCAGTGGGTGCTAGTGGCTTTTCTTGGCTGTCCTGCCCTTAGAATACCAAAACTGTCTCCAAAGAAGTAACGACAGGTTTGGGAGGAGAGTCAACTAGGTGAAGCAAGGGGATATTTTAGATAGTGAAACTATTCTGTATGATACTATAATGATGGATATGACACTATGCTTCTGTCAAAACCCATAGAAATTTACAGCACAAAGAGTGAAATCCAATGTTTATAAATTTTTTGAAAAATTCATTTAAGAGGTCAAGGATCCCATCTGGGATTCCCAGAGGACAGCAAATGCTGAAGACGCAGGCACAACACGTCTGCAGGGATGAACACTCCAGCCCCAGACAAGGCTTTGTTAGAGGATTAACGTAAAACCAAACCACGTTCATGAGGGACCCACAACTTGAACCAACAGAAATTTATTGACTATTCTGGAACACAGAAACTACAAGAGAGTCCATGCTATTAGGAGCCAATGGCACTCAGTCCATGCATGATCTGACCCCCGCCCCTTTGACCTCTTTTGTATGACTGACCCTCTGCCCTGTCCCTCGCCAACTCACAATGCTTCAGCCACTCTGCCTTCTGACTGTTTCTAGGACGTTTCAAGAAACACTTCAAGCTCTTTCCTACTTTGACGCCCTTGCCTTGCTGCTCCGCAAGCCTGGAAAGCTGTTGCTCATCTCTTCACATGGCTGGTTCTTTCCCCTCTTAATGGGTCAGCTTAAATGAGGCCTCCTCACAGCTGTGTGAGGCCTCCTCACACGAGTGCTGTGAGGCCCCCCATCAGAGCACTGCTTACACTGTGTGTGGCACTTATATTTTGTAATTATACTGTTCATTTTGACTTGGTTTTGATCTGGCCCTTCTTCTAGAATGTAAGCTCCATGTATGATTTTTCACTACAAATATATTCCCATGACCTACAACACTGCCACATAGCAGGTGTTCGATAAATATTTATTGAATGAAGGACGACTCGTTTTTTAATATTTGGTTTAAGATCCCGATGGAATATGGACCATGATTTGGAGAGTGTTGTGAGGACAGGAAGTCCCACTATATATACTAAACTAAGAGAGAATCCACATGAAATTACTGGTTGGCCACAGCTACAGTCCCCAGTGCTCCAAGAAAGACATAAACAGCAAAAAAGAAAAATGGGGAATTAAGTAAATGCAAATAAAATACAAACCCAGCATGAATGGCAACATGAATATCAATTAAAATGTAATTTAAGGTCAAAATCATTAACGGGGTCAAAGAGGAATAACATGTAATGGGAAAAAAATTAATTAATGAAGAAGATCTGTATAAGTCATAAGCATTGATAAACAACATAGTAGCCAAAAATATGTAGCAAAAATCCCAGAAATACAAGGAGACATTGATGAAAACATTTTTATTGTGGAATGTTTCAAATATTATTGCCTCAGAATTTGACAGGTCAAATATGCAATTAAGGCAAAGGTAGAAGGGGCTTGAAAAATACAATAAACTACACATTTTTTCTTCTGATATTCATCTAATACACAAATTAATCTTGGCATAAAAATTTTTTTGCTAATTTTCCCAAAGCAGAGATTTGTTTTTTAACTTTCAAATAGGAAATCAATAATAAAAAGGATTTTTTAATCCCATAATTATTGAAAAATTAAGAAACCTCTTCCACATACTTCTTGGTTCAAAGAGAAAATCAGAATTGAAGACACAAATTAAGCATCCAAAAGAGAATAGGAAAAAAACATTATATCAAAAGCTATTGGGGCCTTCCCTGGTGGCACAGTGGTTAAGAATCCACCTGCCAATGCAGGGGACATGGGTTCTAGCCCTGGTCCGGGAAGATCCCACATGCCGTGGAGCAACTAAGCCCATGCGCCACAACTACTGAGCCTGCGCTCCAGAGCCCGTGAGCCACAACTACTAAGCCCATGTGCCTAGAGCTTGTGCTCCGCAACAAGAGAAGCCTCGGCAATGACAAGCCCTCACACCGCAATGAAGAGTAGCCCCTGCTCGTCACAACTAGAGAAAGCTTGCGTGCAGCAACAAAGACCCAATGCAGCCAAAAATAAATAAATAAATAAAAATTAAAAAAAAAAAAAAACCCTACTGGATACAGTTAAAACTAGGTAGGTAGGGAGGTGGGGAGGGAAGAGATGACTTGCAGCCCTAAATGATTTTATTGTTTAAAAATAAAACAAACAGGGTAGGCTTCCCTGGTGGCGCAGTGGTTGAGAATCTGCCTGCTAATGCAGGGGACACGGGTTCGAGCTCTGGTCTGGGAGGATCCCACATGCCGCGGAGCAACTGGGCCCGTGAGCCATAACTGCTGAGACTGCGCGTCTGGAGCCTGTGCTCCTCAACAAGAGAGGCCGCGATAGTGAGAGGCCCGTGCGCCGCGATGAAGAGTGGCCCCCGCTTGCCACAACTAGAGAAAGCCCTCGCACAGAAACGAAGACCCAACACAGACAAAATAAATAAATTAATAAACTCCTACCCCCAACATCTTCTTAAAAAAACCAAAACAAACAAACAAAAAAAACCCCAGGGCTTTCCTGGTGGTGCAGTGGTTGAGAATCCGCCTGCCAATGCAGGGGACACGGGTTTGAGCTCTGGTCCGAGAAGATCCCACATCCCGCGGAGCAACTAAGCCCGTGCGCCACAACCACTGAGCCTGCGCTCTAGAGCCCGCGAGCCACAACTACTGAAGCCCGCGCGCCTAGAGCCCATGCTCCGCAACAAAAGAAGCCACCGCAGTGAGAAGCCTGCGCACCACAATGAAGAGTAGCCTCCGCTCGCTGCAACTAGAGAAGAGCCCACGCGCGGCAACGAAGACCCAACGCAGCCAAAAATAAATAAATAAATAAATAAATTAAAACACATACACACACACACACACACACACAAACAAAATAACACAAAGTCATGATGAAATTATATTTAGAACAATTTGGATCTTATTTTTCCTTGATTATTGAGAAAATAACCTAGTTACGTTCAGATTTTCTTCATTTGAACTATTTTCCTTTTTTATCCGTCCCTTTGTCAACATCACAGTAAGAGTAAATAAAGCGATCAAGAATCTGTCGGTCTGAAAATTATGAAGAAAAACAGGATGAAAATTTCTATTTAACTATTTAAGTGCTAAATAGAGAAATTCTAGGAAGGAGGCAAATATCTGATAATAGTACTCTAAATATAAAATCAATGAGACCAAAATAATCAAAGGATAGTATGTCTAATAGCTAAAAAGACACAATTATGTTAATTATTGATTAAAAAGAGCAAACAGTATTCAAGGGATCAGCAAGACTTCCTGGAAAGAGCATGGATTTCGGAATGAAATAAACTTAGGTTTCAGTTCTGTGCTGGCAAATACATCTGTCCTCTCCATTTATTCATTTCCTCATCTTTGAATACAGGTAATGATACTTACCTAGCGCAGTTGAATGGACAAGGAATGCTATGTGTGAAGCACCTAGACAGGGCTTGGCCTGGGTGATGTGATGATAAACAAAACAATAGAGACTATTGTTCCAAATGTTTCATCCAAGCCAGCGTCGCTTTTCTTGCCCACCAGGGTTGGGAAGCTTTGCAATCTTTGAGTGATAACTGATCACGGGAGGCCCTTCAACTCTCTGGCCTCCATTTCCTCATCTAGAAATTGAAGGAGTCTTTTCTGGTTCTGAACATCTATGGTCCCCTAATCCTAATGACGTATTTTTAAATTGTACTTTGTGAAGCTGTAAAGCTTTGTCACTTCTAGCACTTGCCATCTCTGCAGCCAAAACTAAGAGAAAGGAAGAATGCGAGTGATAACATGTTTTCCTATTCAATGTCCATGTTGTCTTGCTCAGTGTTACAAACGCCAGCTGAGGGCTGGATATCAGGTGTGGGGGGGGGCGGGGGGTGTTCCTGGTTTACTCTCCAGTTATGTGATTTTTGTCTAAAGTGCTACTTGATCCCAACTCCATGCAAGGAATAAATCACTGTCTCAGACTAACACCAGATCATCCTCTTACCCAGGAACTCGGAGGTGGCTTGGTCAATGGAACTTTTAAAAACTTTTCTGTTGTAAACAGTAGCAGTTGGGGTCATAAAAGAACACTCAAGTAAAATCATTGCTGAATGCAAAGGTGCTTGAAGGATGTGCTGTGTGGATAAACTTCCAGGGGATAACTGACAAGTCTAATTTGATTCCCGAGGAACTTTTTTTTTCTTTTGGTTGTTTAATAGCAACTAAATCCTTCCTTTCATTTTATGTGGGGGGCATGTCCCCCAATCCCAACAACTGTCCCTCCCAGGGAGAGGATGTACTCATTTCACAGCACAAGCAGTCATTTCTCTTCTGAGACATCATCCTCATTCCCTGGGTTTGAGGCTAAGTGCCCCAGAGTCCTAGTTTTGATTCCACTCAGGGGTCACTGACTTTCTCTATGACTATTATCAAGGTCACCCACCAGGGCCCTATGTGTTGAGGAATCTTGGAGCGAGAACAGTCTATGAAGTTGTTTTAAAAGCTACAGGTGTGAGGGCTTCCCTGGTGGCGCAGTGGTTGAGAGTCCGCCTGCCGATGCAGGGGACGCGGGTTCGAGTCCCGGTCCGGGAAGATCCTACATGCCGCAGAGCGGCTGGGCCCGTGAGCCATGGCCGCTGGGCCTGCGCGTCCGGAGCCTGTGCTCTGCAACGAGAGAGACCACAACAGTGAGAGGCCTGCGTACCGCAAAAAAAAAAAAAAGCTACAGGTGTACTTACCTAGACCCTGAGAAGCAATGGGTAGGCTTGAGTAACATCCATATTTGAAACTAAAATCCTGAAGCGCTGGAATTTGGTAATTCCATCGAGATTCAGTGTCTGCTGGTCGGGGAACTAAGTTTTTCCATTCCAGAAACATCTGAGAATGTTGCTTAATCTTTTGAGCTGGGGTACAAATGAAAGGCAATAATTACTCCTTGTAGGCTATTTCTAAATAGCCTCATATTTTCATTCCATTCTGCTTCTGTCAGTAACTTCCAATTTATCACACTAAAACACACTCTTCTTGCATTTAGAGGTATGGTCAATGTACTTTTTAGGGACATTTCAACCAGGAAATAATTTTCTGCTTTATCAGGCACAGGAAGTACAAGTTCAAATGATTAGAAGTAGTTTCTAATGAGTATATTGTACGTCAGTTAGGAGTGCTCATTTGTTTCTGCTCCGTGGACTCAGGAAGCATGTCTCACTCCAGTAGCCTGCCTAGTCCCTGGGGCAGGGGTTAGGGTGCAGAGTGAGAGATTTTAGTTAGGGCTACGGTTGCCATATAAAACATAGGGTGCCACTTAAATTTTGGGGGGGCCACACCATGTGACTTGCAGGATCTTAGCTCCCCAACCAGGGATCAAACCCGTGCCCCCTGCAATGGAAGCACAGAGTCCTAACTACTGGACTACCAGGGAATTCCTGGATGCCAGTTAAATTTGAATTTCAGATAAACAATGAATAATTTCTTAGTGTAAGTATGTATAGGTACTCATTTTTTTTACCTGTTATACATCATTATTCAAATTTAACTGGGCACCCTGTATTTTTATTTGCTAAACCTGGCAACCTTAGATAGGGCAGTGCATATCATCCCCATTATCTGGAAAAGAACCACTCAAAGGAAAAGAACCTTACCGATGGAGGGTTAGGTGAGATCATTGTCATTAGTGGACTGTAGCACTATTATTTTTGGAAAAAACTCTGCTAACAAATACTCATTAAACATATGATCCTTAAATACCTCTGAAGCACTGACTAAAACCAGGTTCCACAAGCACTACCAGATTAACTGAGGAGAGAATCACAAGTCATTTCACCTGGAGCGAGTTCATCCCTAATTCTTGCTACAAAATGTTGGTTCAGAGGCACATCATACACCAACTTTAATTGGGACATAGATATTAAAAACATGAATATCACCTAATAAGGACCTACTGTAGAGCACAGGGAACTCTACTCAATACTCTGTAATGGACTATGTGGGAAAAGAATCTAAAAAAGAGTGGACGTATGTATACATATAACCGATTCACATTGCTGTACACCTGAAACTAACACAACATTGTAAATCAAGTATACTCCAATAAAAATTTTTTAAAAATAAATAAAATGAAGAGAAAAAATTCAAATCGTGGAAATATGGACAAAATCAGCTACTTGTGGTAGGAGATGAAAAAGAGATTAGAAATAAAGATCAAAGTCTTCTCTGAAAAAATAAAATAAGTGATACTAGAAAAAATAAAGTATTCATAACCCTAAAAAAAAAAGCCACAAATATCATGAGCAATGTCACAACAGTGCTAATTACTATTAACACTAACCTCTATTCTTTTTCCAAAATAGTTTTTCAATAGGTCTTTTCAAAATAAATTCAAGTGTACATTGTATATCAAACAATATGTGATGTCATCTACTGGTACTCGAGAGCATTTTAATATTGATTTTTAAAAATTGATCTCTGTCCAGACCAGCACAGTGGGAAAGGGTTTCACTGCATGGTGCCTCTTAGTTTAGATGACTCAGGGAGAGAGGCCATGGGTACTCAATGGCCCTCATAATGACCTCATAAACCACCCGAGGAGAAGGCAAGGTTATAGAGAAGAAAACTCTCGGGCTCAAACATCAGGACATTCCTTAAGCTATTTTGGAAACTCATCTGGTATTGTTCCCAGTAAGCAGCATCTATAAGTTGGTTTTTGTAAATTACTAATGGCTTTATTAATAAATAAATTCCCGTTGAAATACTTGATACAGATGCCTATCCTTCTCCCCTAGCTGACACTCAAAAGCAAATGTTTTCAGTTCCTATATGGATTCTGTGCCAAGGTTAAAGGTAATTAAGTCATTGTTCTACCTCAAGACAATCTCAAACCAGTGTGATTAGAAAGAGATATACAGGATACACGGATATGGAATGTGGTATCTTGCAACCATAACACTTGGAACTGTGGTTCTCACATGGAGATAATACATCAGAAATACCTAGTGAGGTTATTCCAAAATATACCTGCTGAACCTTATCCCAGACATTGAGGCTTTCTAGAAGTGGGACCCAGGCACTTATATTGTGAACAAGCTTCTCATAAGAATCACTCACTCAGAGCTGTGGATAAGGTGCTACAGAAGCCCAGAGGGAGTGTGACAGGCTCTGTTACCGGAAGGGAAGGAAGGCAAGAATCAAAAAGGCACACACAGCAAAAGGCGTGTATTGAAAATGGGTCAACACTGAAGCAAAAGATGCACAGAGTGTTCATGAAATGCGGTCTAGTTGGTGCGAGTGAGGAACACAGGGAAGCGGGGACTGGCTGAGGGTGAAGCAGGAGAGGAAAGTTAGGAGCCACGTTGAGAAGGGTCTTGAGGGGCTGGTCCATGTGGACCAGGATGGACCAGCATAGAAGTAGAGCAACGGGAGATGAAGACCCAGAAAAGACAAAAATCAGGCTCTGGATTTACTCTGAGTTCCTTTGAAGATAAAGATTAAGTCTTTTTTTAAAATTAATTTTTATTGGAGTAGAGTTGCTTTACAATGTTGTGTTAGTTCCTACAGCACAGCAAAATGAATCAGCCGTACATATACATACATCCTCTCCCTTTTGGACTTCCTTCCCATTTAGGTCACCACTGAGCATTGAGTAGAGTTCCCTGTGCTATACAGCAGGTTCTCATTAGTTACCTATTTTATACACAGTATCAACAGTGTATATGTGTCAATCCCAATCTCCCAATTCCTCCCATCCCTCCACTTTCCCCCTCGGTATCCATATGTTTGTTCTCCACGTCTGTGCCTTTATGTACTTAATTAAGATTAAGTCTTATTCTTCATTGATCCTTAGTACATATCACTGTAATAGACCTCAGTAAATATTTACTAAATTAAAGAGTGAATAAAAGAAAAAAAAAGAAATGTAATTGCTATGTATTAGCAATTAATCTGAACCACACTCTAGTTACTGCCTATGTGATATATGCTTAAAGTACCTATTAGTTCTTAGTTCTTCTTGACTAATGGTTTAATTGTCTGTATAAAATTTCATGTTAATGAGTTCCTTCGGCATTATTAAGAGAAGTTCCTGATACAAAAGGACCTGACCAAGGTCACATATTGTACAGTATGATTCCACACGTAAAATATCTCGAGACAGAAAGCAGATTGGTAGTTGCTAGAGACTAGGGGAGAGGGAAACAGGGAATGCTTTCTTAATGGGTACAGGGTTTCCTCTTGAGATTATGAAAATATTTTGAAATGAGGCAGAGGTGGTGGTTGTAGAACATTATGAATGTACTAATAGCCAGTGATCTGTTCACATTAAAATGGTTAATTCCACGCTACGTGAATTTCACTTCAATTAAAAAAAAAAACTTTCAGGGACTTCCCTGGTGGTTGAGAGTCCGCCTGCCAGGGCAGGGGAAGCCGGTTCGAGCCCTGGTCCAGGAGGATCCCACATGCCGTGGAGCAACTAAGCCCGTGCGCCACAACTACTGGGCCTGTGCTCTGGAGCCCGTGAGCCACAGCTACTGGGCCTGCGTGCCGCAACTGCTGGGACCCATGTGCCTGGAGCCTGTGCTCCGCAACTGGGGAGGCCACTGCGGTGAGAGGCCCGCACACAGTGGTGAAGACCCAGCGCAGCCAAAAATAAATAAATAAAATAAATAAATTTATTAAAATAAATGTTTCTTATGTAAGGGGATAAGGAAGTAGGAGTTAGAAATAAATGTGAGAAGGTGAGCAAAAAATAGTCTAAGAAGGACCACAGCTGTAGATGACGAAGGATCTTTGGGATATATCCAAACTCTCATTCTTACGGATTATTGATAGAATATCACATTCAAAAGATATGTAGATATTATCTTACTTGACTGGGGTAATAAGATTTGTGGTTCTTGATTCCTCTTGAAGTTCCAATGTTGATCAAATCTTCTTTAGAATATGATCTCCAAACATACTCATCATTGCACTGTGTCTGGTTGGGAACAGGATAACTAAGTGAATATGTATATCCTAATCTTCTGGTACTTTTCTGACTGTGAGAAAAGGGTGGAAACTAGAGTAAGGGATTAAATACCAAATTTCACAAGAGCACACATGTCAAATAATAAGACTGGCTGCCTTAAGACTTGATGCCAGAAATAATTTAATTTCTAGGTTTCCCTGAAAAGAAACAATCCTGTATATTATTATGGCCCTTAACAAAAGTGAGAGTGTCCTAAATTTAAAAGAATCATCTGAAATTCATTAATTTTTTAGTTAATTTTTTTAAAGAGATGAGTACTCTTCTGTGTAAACAGTACTTGAGTATAACTAAATACTTGGTGAAGGAAAGTTTCTTTATGTAAAAAGTATTCCAGTTAATAAAAGGAAAAATGTAAGAATTAGGATACCACTGGCTTGCAAGTCCCTAATGAAATAATGCATCTAGGCAACGATCAGCAGTTCCCACTCTGGATATACATACCCAACACCACCTATTAAATACTTTTGTGAAAATACCCAACCTGAATCAGATGAGGTCTTTGGAATATTAGATTACAGGAAATACATGAAAAGAAGGATAGTTTTAAATGACACGATGGGGATGGAGTCAGAAAAATCCAGGACAAATCGTCTGTTTCTTCAACAAAGAAATTCTCAGAAAAAGAAAGTGGAGGAACCTGTAGATTAAATGAAGTAAGAGAATACAATGCAGAGACCTTGTCTGGATTCAATTTCTAACCAGCTGTTTGTTTTTTTTTAATTATGAGACAACTGGGGAAAATGTGATCACTTATTGGCTATTTGATATTAAGGAATTGCTTTTTTAGGTGAGATAATGGTATTGTTACATATTTTTAAAGCATCCTTATCTTTCAAGAGATACATAAAAATATACTTAGACTTATGATATAATGCCTGGAATTTGCTTCAACATTAGCCAGTGGGAAGGCTAAGTGGAGGATATACATTAAAAATGTCCATGTGTAGTTGATTATTATAGCTGGATGATAGCTGGGGATTTATTGTATATTCCTTTGTGTGTGTCTAAAATATTTCATATTGACTTTTTTTAAAAAGAGGGCTGGGTAAGATTCAGGTTACGTCTGTAAGAAACCAAACATCTGGAAAGTGGGATACATCTGGATGCTGCACTATTTCACTTGTCATTCAGATGTACAGATTCAAGCATGACTGTGGTCCTAAATCAAACTGAAGTCATCGAAGGTGCATGAAGACCTTTCCAAAGGGATCACAGCACAAATTGCTTTAAAGGAATAGATTTTCACATCCGCATTTCTCAGTATATTCTTTCTTAACATGTATCTGCCTGAGAACAAAGCTGCATATCTAGTGGGTCTTTTCCTTCCCGCATCCTTTTCTCCCTTCCCCACTTCACCATAGGATCTTACTAAGGTGCATTACACCTCAGGATGTTAGCTGCCAATGGTGAGAGGGACGCCGGGCAAAGGGAACTTCATTATGGTGATTTCAGGGAACTCCTTTGTAACCCAAATTCCATATACTTACCTAGGGCTTGCCGTTCTAGGTCAAGAGTAAAGGGTGGGGCTATAACCAGAGCATTATGGCCTGTGCAGGGATGTTCTGAATGTAGGTACACTGTAGATTGGTGTGGCTGAGAGTAATGGCTAGTTTTCCCTGTCCTAAAAATTATCAAATGTTCATCCCTCTTTAAGGAGAAGCTTCTAAGAGGAGAGCAGAGAATATAGATTGCTGAAAATGGCTCTTTCCCCTACATATTTAAAGGTAAGCATTTTTCCAGCTTTAAAAAAATCCCTAGGATACGTCACTAGCTGGAAAGAAGAGCATCTCTGTTTAGATGAAGCAGTACAGGATGGCGATGCTGATTCTTTTCAATGTACCTGGAATCTTTTCTGAGACTATCAAATTTTTAAAGATTCACTGGATAAAACTGGTACATAAAAATCTTGTGATCTTTTTTTCAGATTTTGTAGTCATCATCCAATAAGGTATTTAAAGCTAAGTTTTTAACCCAAACATATTATGAAATATTTACTTCAATATAGCCAGTCCTCATTTTATTTTATGATGTAAAATATTTAACAATACATGAAAGTATACGCTAGCTTGTCAGACTAGTAATTTTCCATATATAACTATATACTTACCATATATAACTTTCTCTTTCATTAAATACATAGTAAATGCTTGATTTGGTTTCCAAAGAAATCAATGAAATTGTTTCTGATTTTTATGCATGATATTATTTAATTATTTTCCAAAGTCAAGCACCAGAGTTCTGCACACATGAGAACATATCTAACTAAAGAACCTCATAGTTTTTATCATACTCCTCACTTCACAGATAACTTACATATTTAGCTACACATTTCATTGCATTATTTTTGTTACTTGGATGTAATTAATCATATTAGACCCGAATCTTTCTACACTTCTCCTGTCTACTTTTAATAATCTTCCCTACAATATGTATTCTATAATTTATCAGTAGTTTTCATAATATTCCTCAAAACATATATTAACATTTATTTGAACTAGAATTGTAGTCAGATTTTTATTTTGACAGGAAGTAAACCTAATTTCACTTGTTGGTTGGAGCACAAGGACTGATTTTACCAGCTAGGTAAACATGGTGTAAATTGTATGAGTTAAATCTTCAGCTCAAAGATTTGGATAAAAATATATTTAGAGTATGCAATGACAAAAGCATTTTTATATAAAAAAAGATTATATTGGAAAACCTTTATTGAAATTAATGTTCCTATTTTCCAAGTCCTTTTTGAGTATATAATATTAAATAAGTTTCTTCCAAATGAAGGAGTAACAGATGTAATTTAATAGTCATTTGTTAAGACATGCCTTTTCAGGCCATATATGACAAACTCACAGCAAACATCATTCTCAGTGGTGAAAAATTGAAAGCATTTCCTCTAAGATCAGACACAAGACAAGGATGTCCACTCTTGCCACTATCATTCAACATAGTTTTGGAAGTCCTAGCCATGGCCATCAGAGAAGAAAAAGAAATAAAAGGAACCCAAATCAGAAAAGAAGAAGTAAAACTGTCACTGTTTGCAGATGACATGATACTATACATAGAGAATCCTAAAGGTGCCACCAGAAAACTACTAGAGATAATCAATGAATTTGGTAAAGTTGCAGGATACAAAATTAATGCACAAAAATCTCAAAATGAAAATCAAAATTAATGCACAAAATAACATAGGAAGAACACTCTTTGTCATAAATCACAGCAAAATCTTTTAGACCCACCTCTTAGGGTAATGGAAATAAAAACAAAAATAAACAAATGGGACCAATGAAACTTAAAACTTTTGCACAGCAAAGGAAAATATAAATAAGACGAAAAGACAACGCTCAGAATGGGAGAAAATATTTGCAAACAAATCAACAGACAAAGGATTAATCTCTGAAATATATAAACAGCTCATGCAGCTCAATATTAAAAAAAACAAACAACCCAATCCAAAAAATGGGCAGAAGAGCTAAACAGACACTTCTCCAAAGAAGATATACAGATGGCCAAGAGGCACGTGAGGAGCTGCTCAACATCACTAATTATTAGAGAAATGCAGATCAAAACTACAGTGAGGTATCACCTCACACCAGTTAGAATGGGCATCATCAGAAAATCTACAAACAACAAATGCTGGAGAGGGTGTGGAGAAAAGGGAACCCTCTTGCACTGTTGGTGGGAATGTAAATTGATACAGCCACCATGGAGAACAGTATGGAGGTTCCTTAAAAAACTAAAAACAGAATTACCATACGACCCAGCAATCCCACTACTGGGCATATACCCTGAGAAAACCATAATTCAAAAATACACAGGCACCCCAATGTTCATTGCAGCACTATTTACAATAGCCAGGTCATGGATGCAACCTAAATGCCCGTCGACAGACGAATGGATAAAGAAGATGTGGTACATATATACAATGGAATATTACTCAGCCATAAAAAGGAACGAAATCGGGTCATTTGTAGAGACGTGGATGGACCTAGAGACTGTCATATAGAGTGAAGTAAGTCAGAAAGAGAAAAACAAATATCATATATTAACACATATATGTGGAATCTAGATAAATGGTACAGATGAACCGGTTTGCAGGGCAGAAATTGAGACACAGATGTAGAGACCAAATGTACGGACACCAAGGGGGGAAGTGGCGGGGAGGGGGGAGCTTTGTGGTGGTGGGATGAATTGGGAGATTGGGATTGACATGTATACACCAATATGTATAAAACTGAAAACTAATAAGAACATGTCTACAAAAATAAAATAAAATATTTTAATAAAAATTTTATATAAAAATACAATAAAATAAAAATAAAATTCAAATATAAAAAAAAGACAGGCCTTTTCAGTATATGTTTAAAAATTAATGTCAATTAATATACTGAAATAGTTGCAAAGAGGTATAATGGAGTGATCAATAAATTGCTTTCAAACACAAAATATATTAGAGCAGCGTAAAATTCTATGGAGGAAGTAGACTGGGAGTAAGAGCTCAAGAAGGAAAGAGAATGAAATAAATGATCTGTTAAAGAAGAGCTTGTTTGTATATATTTTTTTAAAAGGGTCAGAGTGAGTATCAATTTGCTAAGGTGGTTAGATTACCCACTGGTTATATGTAAAGAAATGATTTAATGGTCTTGTTTTAAAATGTCAATATTTAGGATGGGCTGGAAGTTTTATCTTTTACAGCTATTTAAATTTATAATAAGAACTTTTCTGTGGACTTTAAAAATATGTGAATTTGAAGACCACTGACCTAGACTCCATAAGTACCCATTTGGTTTTGGCTTTCATCCCAAATGTTTCTTCTTCAGACAACTGTTACTGTTTGGGAAGCTGGCATAATCCTTACCGTCAGATGGTAAACCTCCCAGTAGGGGATATAACGTGACTCAGTGGGATAGCCGGTAACTCGGAAATTAGGAGTCTTGCAGACCTGCACTTTTTGGAAGTCTGTTGTATATTATGCTGGGGAAAAATGAATGAAAATTTGGGGGGTAACTTCTTCGTGCTATAGTCACTGGACTAGTGCTTTCAGTTTGTCCTCAGAACAACCACCTAATGCAGCAGTCATCATTCCCACTTTGCCAACCATAAACCTGAGCTGTAGCTGGCTGGTTACTCGCCTAAGGGAGCAGAGAAAATAAGGGGTAATTAGAGCAGGGAGCTGAGGCTGGAACCCATTTCTGCCTGACTGCACCACACAGTCTGGACAGTACTCCATTTGACTTCCCTACAATGTGAACTTTTAAGGTGAAAAGATCCTCTATATTGGAAGTAATTTCCAGAGTGAACACAGACGAGGGAAGGTCCTCCATGCTAATTTCCCACCTCCCGCTGATGCAATGAAAGATGATGGCAGGGCTTTCGCAGCCCCACCCTCTCTCACCCACCAATGAGCTTAGAGAGGCAGCTGATGGACAGAAATTCCCACCACCCTCGGTTCAGGTGGAATGGAGGGAGGAGTTGTAAGCAAACATTGCCTTAGGAAGCAATAGTTGGAGGAGTGAAGGTAAGGGTAAGGGGACTGTGGCCTTGTTCCAGCTTCCAGGACTAGTGTTGGGTGGAAGTGCTAACAATTACTCACTTATCCAGTCATTCAGTTGTCATTGCCTGCCTACTGTATACCAGGTAATGGACACAATACATGCTCCATGTTTAGGTAGCACAGTTCTATTAACTGTATACTGGCTCTGTTGTAAAGCATGATACACAGTGGCTTTATGAAGGATCCATGTGTTAATTTTCTCAATTTTCCTGTAGGAGCTTGGGATGCTCTTTGAAGGGGAAACCCCCTCTGATGCTTGGAGGAGACCTGTGCGTGCTGTGGGTCTTATCTGAGTTCATTTTCTATAAGCCTTCTCTGATTACTCTCTATTGGTTTTGGACTCTGAATAATAGAAGAAAGGTGAACAAATTCAAGCGTGTATATCAATCTGATTTGAATAGGGATGTACCGAATTAAAGCAGGCACCGCTCCTGTCTTAGGTGTGAACGCAGTCTTCGTCGTGGTGGCGTAGGAATCCCGATCGGTATCACCTGCTAGAAGCACAATAAAACAGTTTTAAATGTGGCAAGCCAGCATATTTTGATCAAATGTTGTTTTAATAATTAAAATAATTTTGCAAGAGACAAACATTTCGGGTGGTAATGCAGAGTGTAAAGGAATGAAGGCCAACTTGTGAGCTCCACTAGGGAAGAGGGGAAGCTCAATTTAATTATGAGTTCCCCCCCCAGATAAAAATAGGTCTATTGTTTTTCTTGAGAATTCACATATACTATTTTAAAGAATTCGAGCAATACATAAAAATATAAAGAAAAGAGTTCACTTGAAACTCTATCATCTTAGGATGTTCACTATCGCTGTTTTATTGCCTGACTTTTCATGCATCATATTAGATATACCTGTAAATGCATGAACTGATTTTACACAAAGAGGGTCATAGTTTCCATGTCAGGTTCTCTCCTGGACCCCTTGTTGTGGCTCCTTCCTGGCCCTGCTTGTAATCACCCTCCTCCCAGGTAGCCCATGTTAACAATTGTGCCTGTTTCTTTCCAGATTTTTATAACTGCTACTATAATCATATACAGATTGATATATACGTATATCAATACATTATCACATTGGGTTCTAGTCCTATTTTGTTTTACAAAAACAGGCTCATCTTACACAAAGTGTCCTCTTCTACCTGTCACTTAACGGCGCCATATGGGAAGCCCCTCTGACTCGTCTGGTGCAGCTCTAAGTAATTCTTTGTATCGACTGCGCAAGATTCCGCAGCATAGCTGTTCTTTAAAGCTGTGAGAGTGAGTGAGCTCAGCAAGGGAGGGAGTGGCATTAGAGGAGGTGACGTCCAAAGGCTGAAGCCCGGGGCCCCCCAGTGTCAAGAGGCTGGGGAGATGAGGGGAAGCCGGTGAAGGAGGCTGAGAAGCTCAGTGAGCGAGGTGAGTGGAGACCCAGGAGGCTATGGTGTCCTGATGGCCGAAGGAAAAACATGATTCCAGGAGGAGGGAGGGACACCTACAACGGCAAATGCTGCTGGCGGGCCCGGAGGGTGAGGATGGAGAATTCACCGGTATGCAGACACGAGGATTGATCTGCCCCAACCTCCCCTTGTGAACGGAGGTACCACCAGATTACTTGGGAATATATTTTTAAAATTTAATTCGATCATTCTCTCTTTCTTCATATCTAGGCAGTTACCTGTGGCTTTTTAGATTTCACTAGCACCTGGGTGAAATGATCCCTTCCATGTTCGAAGCAAAGCCATCTGGGGTCCATCACCTCACCTCTCACACCGCACCCACCTCACTGCCTGCCTTTTCTCCCGTTCACGCATCCTGAATACAATTGCCGTAAAGCATCTTTCTCAAAGGTGTCTTCAATTTCCAAATAGTCTGAAAACCTATATGCCACTGCCTACATATAAAAAAGAAACATTTAGTTTTTGCCATCTGTGTACTTCTCCCCACCTCTCCCATCTCTCCATCTCTGCCATCCAGGGCTTGTTTCTCATCGAACAGGTCCTTGAATCCAGTCAGGCAGCTGCATCTGCCCCTCTGTAACTATTCACCCGCCGCCTTCACACAGGGTGAGTTTCACCTCCACCTGAGGCTTCCCCGGGCTAACAAAAGCCTTAGCCCCTGCCTGTCACACTCTGTCCTTCTGTTTGCAGACTCCTGGCTGGTATCTACGCTCTGATCCCATTACACTAGAAATGACATTATCCTTTGATTCTTCTGCTTTAGTGGGAACCACTTTATACTTTAAAGCATTTTATTCCAACAGCAGAATTAATGTTCTTTGTTAAGAGAATTTCAAGCACGGACAGGAAGTGGGGAGAAATTGTGAGGCTGTGTTGCTCTTAAAATAAACTAGCACTTCACCTGATTTGAAGCTCTGAGTTTGACTCTTAGAAGGATCTGGAAGGATCTTCTGCACAGAGACTGCCTTTTTCCGAAGCAAGCAACGCCAGTCTAGGCCTGATCACTCTTTGCAGATGCAAGTAGGATTTGAGATGAAGAACACCCTAGATTATCCGGTGGGCCCTAAATGCAATTTCAGTGTCCTCATAAGAAAGGCAGGGGGAGGTTGGCCACGGAAGAGGAGGAGGTGGTGTGACCATGGAGGCCGAGACTAGAGTGATGGGCCACAGGTCAAGAATGCTGACAGGGCTTCCCTGGTGGTGCAGTGGTTGAGAGTCCGCCTGCCGATGCAGAGGACACGGGTTCGTGCCCTGGTCTGGGAGGATCCCACATGCCGTGGAGCGGCTGGGCCCGTGAGCCATGGCCACTGAGCCCGCGCGTCCGGAGCCTGTGCTCCGCAAAGGGAGAGGCCAAAAAAGTGAGAGGCCCGCGTACCGCAAAAAAAAAAAAAAAAAAAGAATGCCGACAGCCACCAGAAGCTGGAAGACGCAAGGACGGATTCTCCCCAAGAGCCACCAGAGGGAGTGCAGCCGTGCCAATAGCTTGATACCAGGCTTCTGGCCTCCAAAATTGAAAAAAATAAATTTCTATTGTTTTCAGCCACCAGTTTGTGGAAGTTTATGGCGGTCCTTGGAAGGAATACAGCACTTGAGAGCCCAGTCGATAGTAATAGTTCGATAGCAATTCGTCCATAGACGTCATCAGCCTCATCCTATTTTGAGACCAGAGCTGGACAGTGACACATTAGGCCCACCTTTTAGAGGGTGACCCTTCCATCAGTGGAGGATGGAGTAGCACAGAGTGGCTGTTAGAGACTCAGGACCGGAGGTGAAGGGGCAAGCTCCCCCAGGGGAAGGGACACTTTGGAGGCAGAATCAGTGACACCTGGTGATGACATTGAGGTGTCAGTGAAGCGGCCCTCCCCTCTCCTTTAAGCAGATGGTACCCTCCTTACTGAGCTTCCAAGTCTAGGAAGACAAAGAGTATAGTTTTGTACGTGTTGCGTTTGAGGCCCTTCTGTGACATCCAAATGCATCTGGTAGACAGATGGATATTTTGGTCTGAGATTTAGGAAGAGCATCTGAGTTATGGATAAAGATGAGAGAGTCATTGATTGGCACCTTTATGTAGACTAGAAGCCCTGTGGCAGGATATGGCCGCTCACATAGGAGATGTAAACCAAGAAGGAGAAAACCTGGAGGACGCCAACATTCCCAGACAAGAGGGGGGAGAGCAGACAGTGAAAGAAACCAAGACAGGGTGGCTAGAAATGGAGGATGAGACTCAGGGGAGTGGGGCGGGGGGCGGGGGGGGGTGTTCCTGGGGAGGGCTCCAGCTCCTCTGCCTGGACACCATAGAGAAACTCGTGTTGTAAATATTTTTGTATTAATTATTTTCATTTGCTATTCGTAATTTACAAAGGGATGAATGGGATGAAAGTATGCATTTCATTCATTCTCCTGGGGCTACAATTCTAGGGAATTTGCAGTTGAACAATCCCCACTGCTCTGTAGCCACCAGGGAACCACAATTACCCAGCTAGAGGGCTGCGATGGGTTATTATTGCCATGAGAAAGACCAGGATGGAGCTGACTACACAGTAATCATGCCAGTAGCACCACAGCTAGAGTGGCTCTCCCTCCACTGACACAAAAAGCTGAGTTAGTAAACCAGCTGCATTCGCATGCAAAATTAGTATTAAAAGCACTGCCTCTGTTAAATACAAAATCCCTTTGAAAGAAAAATCAGCGAAGTTTAGAAGCGACAGCTGAATGCCATAGTTCCCAGCCTCTGCTACAGCCACCGGGGTGGGGGTGGGGGACGCTGCAGATCCACTTGGGGGTTGCTTCTCTGCATTCTGCAGCCCCTCCCCGCCCTCTTTCTGCGCTGTTTCCCAGATCCTGCCGGGGATCAGGGCCCCCGCTGGGTCTGCTCTCTTCAGAGCTCCCGACCTCTGTTGCTTCTTTGTCTTTGTCTTTGTTCTCCAGACACTAGGCCTTCCTTTTGCTTGTCCCCTCCTGGACATTTCATGGGGTGTTTAAACTCCGAGCTGTTTAGGGAGGGCTTTGACAGAAGGTATGGCGAAGGGCAGGAAAGGGGCAAGGTCGTGAACACCCTTTCATTTTCCCTGACTCCCAGCCTCTCCTTAAATTGAGTCCCACCCGTAAGGGGGAGGCACACACCCTTGAAGACCCGAGCAGCCTTCGCTCCAGGCACCGCGTCTCCAAGGGAGACCCCGTCCCCGCCCCTCGCCGGCTGGCAGGGTCCGCAGTCTTACTTGGCAGGATCTTGTGGCCGCATTGAGAAGGACACGGAGCCTCGGGCCCAGGCTCTGCCATTCTTGCTAGAAGAGGCCGTCGCTGGGCCTCTCGCACTAGCCGGGCTGGGTGCTGCGTGGCTGCTTTGCGACGCTTCGCCATGGAGACGCGGGGATGTTCCCGGCGGCTCAGCCCCTGGCAGACGAGGTGCAGGGCGCTTCACCGGGCCGGCTGGGGGACCCGGTGCTGAAAGTAAAAAGATGTGTTTCTAGTAATATGATGGATACCTTACTTTCGTGTATTTGTCTAGTTCATGCAATGAGCTTTCTCGAGAACTGTCTTATATATATTTGGGGAGAGGAGCAAAAGGGGCTGAAGAGAAAGTAATATTGTCAGATTTTCAACTGCAAATTTCCAGCTATGCACAGTTTTCAGCTTAAGCGAATGAAGGCGAAGTCGTCAGGGATCTTGCAGGATCCGAGCAAGAGGAATTAAAAATCACAAGTAATCTTGCGTTACGTGGAACTAGAACCAGAGTTTCTGAGATAGTTTCATGCCATCAAACTGGTCATCTCTGCACAGGAATTAGGAGCCGGCAGGGAGGTGAAAGAAAAGTGCGCTTGGAAAGAGTGAGTGAGTAGGGATGTGTGTGACACCTTTCTTCTCACCAGGCCATGTTCCTGGCACCAAAAATCGTTTTTTGTGACGGTCAATTTCATCGTTCTTCTGTCCCCACAGGTTCAACTGGGTCTCTCACCCCCATGTATGTGGAGGGTCTTTTATATTCATATTATTTGACAGCTACCTGGTCATTTGGCACATAGTAGGTGCTTAGTGATATTGAATGTCTCCTGGCTAGGACACAGCTATTACCCACTTGGATGCGAAGAGGAAACAGTAAGTATGCATTGGAGACTGCTGGCACCATGTTTAAAAAGCAATTTACAACCATCCCTTAACCTTTCAAGGGGTTATTCTAACATAGACCTTAAGTGAACAGTGAAGTAGCAAAAGTGAATTTATCAAAGGAGACAGAATAGGCATCAAAGTAAGGATCCCACGTATATATGCAAGGATTTCTTTAAACTGAAGAGCTCAACCAGAAGTTTCTGAGAGTAGAGTCCCATCCATGTAATGGAATGAATATAACAGATTTAGGCTCTCAAATTTATAGCAATGAATGGTGGGACACACAGACTTCTGTCGATGTTATTAGAAGGAATGAGTCTAAATTAGGATTTAGTAGTGGAGTCTAAATTAAGAAAGTAACACCCAATAACAGATTACTGTCTGGAAATAGTAGAGCTAATTAGCATAGCATAATTTAAAAGAAATACACTTTAAAAATAGAGCAGTGAGTATATAGAATTTTTGCAGTGAATTTGTATTAATATCTTACATTTGTCTCGTCTTAGGCAAGCTGTGAAATGGCGGGAGGGATACGCACTGAATCGAGAGCCAGAAGTTCTGTCACTTTCTACCTGAAGGCCTTGGGCGTAAAACAGGTACTGCTCCGAGCCTCAGCTTCCTTATCTGTAAAATGAATATATGAGTGCCCACCTCAATGGGCTGTAAAGATGAATAATTCTAACGATAATTTATAAATCGTAAAGCCACACACACCTAAGGTATTGCTCTTTTGTCTTATTACTCTTTTGATCTTTTTTAAAAAATTTTATTTTATTTTTAAAGTTTTTAAAATTATTTATTTATTTTATTTTTGGTTGTGTTGGGTCTTCATTTCTGCGTGCAGGCTTTCTTAGTTGTGGCAAGCTGGGGCTACTCTTCGTTGCCGTGCGCTGGCTTCTCATAACAGTGGTTTCTCTTGTTGTGGAGCACGGACTCTAGGCGCGCGGGCTTCACTAGCTGTGGCACGCGGGCTCAGTAGTTGCGGCTCACAGGCTCTAGAGAGCAGGCTCAGTGGTTGTGGCTCACGAGCTTAGATGCTCTGCGGCATGTGGGGTCTCCCCAGACCAGGGCTTGAACCCGTGTCCCCTGCATTGGCAGGTGGATTCTTAACCACTGCGCCACCAGGGAAGTCCTTCATTCTTTTTTATAGCCTTTCATTTCTGCTTCTGCTTCTGCAGACGGATGGTTGATACAGGTCCATTTCATTATGAGCAGTACAGCACTCTTCCTGCCTTTGAATTTGGGTTCCTTGAGGCAACTCCGTTTAAGGATTAAGCAGAATATTTTTCCTTTCTTCTTTCCCTCAACAAATACTGAGCACCTGAAGTGAGCTGGATGATGACATTAAGGGCAGTGCCCAGAGTATTATGGGACCTTGGGGGAGGGGGAGAGGAATTGCCTGAGCTGAGTCTTCCAAGATGCCCGGGAGGCAACCAGGTGAAGAGGGAGAGGTGCCCCAAGGCCCAGGAAGGACCCAGGAGGGGGAAACAGCCTGTGTCCTCCAGAGGCCCTGCGAGCTTGGTCTTGCCATACTGTGAAGGGGGAGGGGGACAGCCAAGCAGCCCCACAGCCCCGCTGAGGAGCTCCACCTAAACATGAGGAGTGTGCACTGAGTGGGTTAGGCAACAGCGTGAGGGCTCAGGTCAGTAGTTTAAGTAAATCCTCTTTTCCAGGAGTAAGAGAAGCAAGGTTCCATTCACCTGCCAGAGTAGATCCATCACACAGAAACTAAGACCTTGAGGTTACCAGTGCTCCTGTGACAGAGTTTTGAATCGACCAAAACCAACTGAGAGTAGCTGCATCAAATGAGTTAAATGGGAACTGGTTTCCAATTCACATTATTACAAGAAATTTCTTTCTGCCACACACACGTACAGAGGGAGCGTGATATGAAGGAGTCAAGATGGGGGTGGGTGGTGGAGGGAAGAGACAGCGACGAAGGAACACTCAAATGTTTTTTTTCTTTCTTCCTTTTTTGCGGTACGTGGGCCTCTCACTGCTGTGGCCTCTCCCGTTGCGGAGCACAGGCTCCGGACGCGCAGGCTCAGCGGCCATGGCTCACGGGCCCAGCCGCTCCGCGGCATGTGGGATCTTCCCGGACCGGGACACGAACCCGCGTCCCCTGCATCGGCAGGCGGACTCTCAACCACTGTGCCACCAGGGAAGCCCGAACACTCAAATTTTGCCTGTGAAGGAGAAGAGGGTCTAGTGGGGGAAGAGGGTGTGGATCACATGGAGAGTTATTACTTGAAAGGAGAGAAGAATAACCAAGTTCATAGGCCAAGGGTAAGAAGCAGGGAGAGAGAGAGAACTTGATGCTCCAGGAGAGAGTAGACAGGGTCCCAGCCAGGAGAAAGGAGATGTGCCAGCAAGCTATCCCCAAACTGAGCGTGTCCACACCACCTGGGCATTTGACGAGAACACGAGTTCTGAGTCAGTAAGTCGGGGGGGAGCAAGATTCTGCTTTTCTAACAAGATCCCCAGGTGATTCGTAACGCTTGAGATGGACAGGTCTAGAGCCTTGTCCCAGGACCAGCGGCCTCGGCATCACCTGGGAACTGGTTAGAAACGCAGAAACACAGCTCTCCCTCCCTCCCCCACCGAGCTCCTGAGTCAGGATCTGCAGCTAAACCTCCAAGAGATTCCAGGGCACATTCAAGTTTGAGGACTTCTGCTCCGGGTAACATGAGAGGAAAGGTTGTCTCTGGAACGAGAGGAAGAATGTGAAAGAGTTGATGGGAGACTTGGCCGGTGACTGTTTCCAAAAGCCCAGAAGAGGTCACGGACATTCTTCAGCAATGCCAAGTGCTTTGGATATGAATGTACTGAGTGAAGTTTTTCTGGCTTGCTTGCTGTATTTTGGCAAGACTTCCTGTTATTATGTGGTATGCAATGCTTTCATTCAAGTGTCTTCATGTAAAAAAACAAAACAAAACTGTCTTTTCTCTTTGTTTTAGCTGATGGATTAACTCGTAAAACATTTTCTCCATTTCTGTGATGGACTCTGTATTATTAAGGGTTCTCTAGAGAAACAGAACCAATCGTGTGTGTGTGCGTGTGTGTGTGTGTGTATGTAGAGAGAGAAAGAAACTTAGTTTAAGGAACTGGATCACACAATTGTGGGGACTGGCAAGTCCTAAATCTGCAAAGTAGGCCAGCAGGCCAGAGGACCAGGGCAGCCCAGGGCAGATCCTACATTGCAGTTCAAGTCTGAAGGTCATCTGTGCAAAATTTTGTCTTGCTTAGGGGAGGTCAGACTTTTGTTCTATTCAGGCCTTCAGCTGATGGGAGAGGTCCATTCACATTGTGGAGGGCAATCTGCTTTACTTAAAGTCCACTGATTTAAATGTTAGCCTCATCCAAAACACCCTCACAGAAACATCAAGAATAATGTTTGTCGACACATCTGGACACCGTGGCCCAGCCAAACTGACACTTAAAATTACCATCAGAGATCCAGGTCTTCCTGAGGTCACCTGGTTCATATCTGCCACTAAGAGGGGTTGTGTTTAAGCCGTCCAAGAATGATTGCTCTGTTTCTATTGAAAAATCCAGAAAAGAAAATTTTGTAATGGTCTCTATTTTATTAGGACAGTCCAGTTTAACAGGGTAAATTCTAAGCTCTGCTTCTAACCTGCCACTCACCAAACTCACATTTTATCCAAATAAAGCCGTAACAGCAAGTTCAGACGTTTGATTCTATCAAAACCTCATCAATCGTATATAAATGTCACCTCCTTCCTGGGCCATCTCTGCTGTCTCTGATTCTTGTGTTTTTCTCTTCTATGAACCCTTAAGAACAATTACTAATGCCTTGCGTTATTGGGTCTCTCAAGTTTATTCAAGCCGTGAGTATCAAGTGCGAACACTCATTTTAAATCTGTTAGACCAGCAGTTAGCCATCCAAATGAATGTTCTCTTCTTCAAAGTAATCATTTATTGTAATGACACTGCCATTGCTTAAAGCATCTTTGAAACTCTTTAGAAACTCCCTTCAAACACTGACGCACATTCTTTTGAATTTCTTGAATTGGGGCATAGCTTTGCTCTTTGAAGATAGACGGGTATTTGAAACAGTAAGAAGACATTCGAGCTGATAATTAAGGTAGGCAATCAAGTTGGACAATGTTTTCCTTTGGCCAAAAATCAAACTCTAACCATGAGGTAATAAGAGAAAAACTCCCTTATTCTGTAGATAATGTCCGGATTGCATTCTTGTTGGAAAAAATTAATAGCTTCCAAGGTGACTCTTTCACTGAGAACTTCAGTAAATCAGTTGCTTGGATAAACTGATCCTTACATGTTTCTTTTAAAACTAAATTTTACAGTTACACGTCAGTAATTTTATCTCCAAAACTGGATCATAAGCGTTTTAGACGCTTTCCTTTTTGAATCTCTCCCGTAGCACTGATTTTATTGTTCTTACTAGCTGTACATCTGTCTTTTACAAGACTGGATGTTCCTTGAGAGCAAGGGCCATGTTTTAGGCACCTTTATATACCAGCTCCAGTGCACTGCACACAGTAGGCACTCAATCATATGTGAGAAATAAATGAATGAATGGAATGAATGATTGCTTAGGCCATTCTTGTCCTATACATTTCTACTGATCTTAAACTGTTTAAGATGTCTGAATTAGGGCAAATATACATCCAGACTGAGGTCACTTTGACCCAGGAAGATCTGTCCCAATAGACTTTTCACCCATTTTATAGATTTCCCAGTATCAATTCTTTGTGACATTTGCTAATGAAATATACATTAGCACAGTGTATATTTCCTTGGAGGCAGTCATAAAACTTTGGTAAGTGAATATCGAATTAAGTAAATGCATTTGGCTCTGAGTTGACTGAAAACAATTTTTAATGATAAAAGGAACCTTCCAGGGGCGGACACGGGTTTCAGCCCTGGTCCAGGAAGATCCCACATGCCGCGGAGCAACTAAGCCCGTGCGCCACAACTACTGAGCCTGCGCTCTAGAGCCCATGAGCCACAACTACTGAAGCTCGCGAGCCACAACTACTGAAGCCCGCGTGCCTAGAGCCTGTGCTCCGCAACAAGAGAAGCCACTGCAATGAGAAGCCCGCGCACAGCAACGAACAGTAGACCCCGCTCGCCGCAACTAGAGAAAGCCCGCGGGCAGCAACGAAGACCCAACGCAGCCAAAAACAATAAATAAATAAAATAATAAATTTAAAAAAGAAAACTTCCAGATCTTTAGTCCATTTCTGGAGCGATTACCAAAGGTTTTCCTGAATTCAACTATTTTCAATAAATGGACTTTGTCAATTTTTGTGAATAGAGTTTCTATTTCCTTTGGGAAGCAGATACCATTTGATATTCACCTAAGGTTTGTTTGTTCTGGTGTATAACTTATTTTTTTGTTAATACTCTTCATTTTGCAGAGTGAATAACAAATTTTTATCATCTTCTGTTATTAAGGAACATTCCCGTTTTCTGAAACATCAGTATCAATTTTTTTTCTCCAAATACTTCATAGGCCTATTCTTCAAAGAAGGCTCTTGATAAAGTAGCTGTAAAACCACAATTCTTACTGTAATAAGTTACAAGGCCAACATACCACCTGCAG